GCAAGGTCCTGTAAGGATATAGGGAAGGTGTAAGCCCTCTCCAACTATTAACTGTTACCTTGTGGAAATACTTATCCCAAGTATCCTCCCCCCCCCCCTAAACCCCCCCTAAATAGCTATCTTAATAAAAGGGTTAATGTTGTTGCAGTTACAGCTATGAAATGCCTTTTTCCAATATATTTTTTACATACTGTTCACAATCTCCCAAATAGCATAAGCATCCTTAGGGAAGGTACTAATCCACAGTAGTACCCCTGCACAAAACACAAGCAGTAGAACTTTGTAGCATAGAGCTTTCTGCTTTCAAGTCCCATGTACTCTGCCTAATTACCCTTTTTTTTTCCCCCACGGGTACAGTCAGAGAAACTCATGCATCATAAGCCTGAAATAGTGATTTTTAAAGTCAGGGGAAAATTACCAGTAGTGCTTATCCAACTGGATTCTATGATGATTGTGCAGGAGATTGTTTAAAGAAACTTATCCTCACATAGTAGTTGCATCTCATTTCAAGTTGAATGCCACATCAAAACTAAAATGCCTGTTTTTCTGCTCTTCTCCCAAGAAATAGGATACTTTTTTTTTTTCCTCATAAGAATTAAAGCATTTCCAGTGTTTATTAATGTGATTAGATCACCAGTGACACAAATTAATCTGTATGGAAAGATACTGATGGGGGTCTTACTGAAATCAGAGTTGTGCATGTTGGTCTGAGGAATGAGGCCGTATGCCAACCTTTTTATGGTAGTATTAACTTTTTCATCTTTTTAAATACAGGTTTTCATTTTGTGATGCCACATCATATAAGTAGTATAATATGTCTTATGTTCTGCTGCTCATACTGGAAATAAGGATTTTTATGAATGTTTACCAGGATAAAAGATTATATTAGAGAATTCAAAATCCAGGCATAAGGGATGCTCATAACTATATTTGGAAATTTGACCCAAAGCAGACCAACCAAATTGAGTACTTCCAGATTCTGTGCATGTGTAACTTAGTAGTTTGGTACAATGTAAACCTTGATCAGGTTTGGATGATTAACTTAAGCTTTGGATCTTAATTGACCTGAAATTTGCCCATTTAAGATGCTTTTAATAATATTATAGGATCCTTCCTCCAAAGTCTACCATCCTGTTGGTACAGGTGATACAGGAGCCAATGAGGAGAGGTGTGCTGCTGGACCTTGTACTAACAGACAAGGAAGGGCTGGTTGGAGATGTGCAGGTTGGGGGCAGCCTTGGCTGCAGTGACCATGAGATGGTGGAGTTCAGGATCCTGGGAGGAGGGAGCAGGGCAATAAGTAGGATTGCAACCCTGGACTTGAGGAGAGCAGACTTGGGCCTCTTCAGGGACCTACTTGGAGGAATCTCATGGGGTAGGGCCCTAGAAGGAAGAGGGGTCCAGGAGAGCTGGTTAATATTCAAGCATCACTTCCTCCAGGCTCAAGAGCAGTGCATCCCTCTGAGCAAGGAGTCCAGCAAAGTGGGCAGGAGACCTGCATGGATGAGCAAGGAGCTCCTGGCAAAACTCAAAGAGAAGCAGGAAGTGTGCAGGAGGTGGAAGCAGGGACAGGCCCTTTGGGAGGAATATAGGGACATTGTCAGAGTGTGCAGGGATGCGACAAGGAAGGCTAAGGCCCAGTTGGAATTAAATCTGGCAAGGGATGTCAAGGACAACAAGAAGGGCTTCTTCAAATACAGCAGTAGACTAGGGAAAATGTGGGCCCGCAGCTGAATGGGGCGGGTGCCCTGGTGATGAGGGATACAGAGAAGGCAGAGTTGCTGAATGCCTTCTTTGCTTCAGTCTCTACTGCTAAGGCCAGCCCTCAGGAATCC